CTCAATATGCACATGTATGTGTAAGAGGCAGAATGTGTGTATGACCTTACCCAGATGTTTTTTGTTTTAAAATTATGTTTTCATGTACTATATTCTGAGTATGATTTCTCCACCCCCCAACATCTTCCACATCCTTTTCCACCTCCCCACCCAACCAAACCCACACCCATCCCCAGTCTTACTAGGAAAAAATAGGCGTCCTAAAAAATAACAATAAAAACAAACAAACTAGAATCAGACAGAACAAACAACAAAAAAGCCAAAGAAAAAGTACAAGAAACACATAGAGACACAAAGACACAGACATATGCACACAGAGAAAATTCATAAAAACAAAATTGGAAACCATACTGCATAAGCAAAAGACCTGTAAGGTTACAAAGAAAAAAGAAAAAAAACTTGCAAAGCAATGTGATAAAACAATCCTCCAAAAATACCACTGAGTTCATTTTATGTTGGTCATCTACCGTTTGGCATGAAGTAGATGTCCTGTCCATAATTGTGATTTATATACCCAGTGAGACACCATTGGGGTACAGTAATTATCAGTTGGAGATAGCTTTGGGATTAGGGATGGGCACTTGTATCCACTTCCCTTCTCAGTACTGGCACCCGAGTTAGGCTTACTTCTATGCTGCCACAGTCTCCAAAAGTTAATATGTGCATCAGTCCTGTTCTGCACAGAAGCCCTAGTTTCCTTGGAGTCTTGTACCTACCACTGTCTCCTACAATTGCTCCCTCTCTTCTTCCACAGAGTTTCCTGAGCCCAGAAGGGATGATTTGATGGAAATATGTCCTTTAGGAATAAGTGTTTCAAGGTCTCTAACTCTCTGCACACTGTCCAATTGTGAGTCTCTGTACTTGTTCCCACATATTGTAAGGGGAAAGTCTCTGAGCTGAGCATAATACTTGTCTATGAAATTGACAGAATGTCATCAGGAGTCCTTTTATGTTTTGCTGTGTTCCTGCAGCAGAACAGTGGTTTTTTTGTTTCCCAAATGGCACATCTCATCCCAAGTTCTTGGCCACCCAGGCAGTGTCAGCCATGGGTTCTATCTCATGGAGTGGACTTATCCAATCAGACAGTGGATGGTTACTCTCACAACGTTCGTGCCACGGTTGCACCTACATGTCTTTCAGGCAGGTGATCATTGTCAAATTGAAAGACTTGTAGTGCGGTTGGTGTATTTTGGTAGAGTGCAGAGTACCTTCCAGTATCATGAACACTAGTCTGTAGGGGTGAAAGCTTAGTTAGGAATCAGGCTGACTTCTCCACATTCAGTGAGTGCACTGTGCAGCTGTTATCTTCAGCAATCAGGCAATCATGGAGAGGAGCTGATAACTTTGGCATTAGCCTGGGTTGTTTGGGGGTTTCCATAGGAACACTTTGACCAAAAACTCAACTAGACATAACCCATTTCTAGAACTTGGGTTTCATTTGGAGGCAAGAGATGTCTAATTGGGGCATTGTCTTTCCTGCTACTTACTGACATTTTTAAAGCTGTTCCTTTGCTTCACTTTTCTCTGCTTTGCTTTGATGTGGGGCCTTACTACCCAGCTCATGTAGTCCTAAACTTTTCATACCCCTGGCTCAGCTGTACCAATACTAAACATGTTTGCTACCATGCCTAGCTCTGAGTTGTATAGATATGATGAAATATAAATCTAAAAATGGTTATAAAAACGATTAAGTAAGTCAGATTTGGGGTGTTTGTGTACAAAAATCAAGGAGTTTTCAAGACTGAAATTTCTCCATCTATATTTATTCAGGTGCCAGAGGCTGAAAATTACTTTTGTTAATTTTTTTCTTTCTTATAATTGTGTTTTCCAACATGTATTCACTGACCTGTTTTTAGTAATACAACTAGAAGTCCAAATATGTTTGATTAATAAAAGTTGAAAAAATATTTTGAGTGAACATGAAATGTGTTTGCCATTTTGACACTGATATTAAAGGAGAAAATTCCAGTGATTGAGTTGCTCTATTTGATATGTAAATACACTCTCAGACTGTGATTCCTGGCAAATGAGAGGACTATAAACATGTCTTGTGTAGAAGGTCTTTCCAAGGTCTCCATCTCCTCATGACAAAGTGAATCAGCCCTCTCAAATCTGAAAAGATCCAGTTGCACACACACAAAACATTTTAGGATAAACACTAAAATAAAATTCATTATTTATATTACTGTTCCTTGGATTTAAAATAGCAGTGGTGGATGGAGATACATATTAAGCAGGAACTGAGGAACTGCAAAGCAAGGCTGTTAAGAGCAAATAAAAGGACTAATATTTTAATAACATTGTCACTAAACACTACTGAACTTGCTCTCAGAGGCAGAAACTGTGTTTCACCTGATCATCATACTAATCATGCCTTTTGTTTTACTTGACACAAAACTGAGCTCAAATTATTTATTGCATTGATTATATAATATAACATAGCATAAACAACTTAATTATTCATTAAAACTCAAGTACAGAGGACAAGAACCCACCCTGTAGTTGGTCAACTAGATGTTTAATCTCAGTTATCAGCTTGATGAGATACAAAATCAGCTGGGAGATAGACTTTTGAGTATTGCTCTATTCTTGTAGGGAATTCTCTTGATTGGAATGATTGAGGTGGGGAGATTGACCCATTATGAGTGGCTCCAGTCTCTAGACTGGGATCCTGGACTGTATAAAAATGAAGAACACTAAGTACAGCATATCTCTTTCTCTCCCTGCTGCCTGACTAAAGGTGTAATGTGACTTTAAACTTCTGCTGCCTTGACTTTCTGGTCATTAAACACTGTACTTCAAACTGTGAACTAAGAAAGCCCTGTGTTCCCAATGTTGCTTTGATTGGGGTATTTTAACACAGCAAAAGAGAACTAAGACAGTTGCGATGCCTAGCCTTTGGTCAATTTGATGTTCTCTTTGTACTGAAGAGCTCTTGGGCTCTATTTCTTCTCACTTCTTCATGTAGATAATTGTCTACAATCCACAACCCCAGAGAAGTTAGGAAATAAGAAGGACCCTAAGACAGTCAAGGATCCTGGAGAAGGAGAAAGGGACACGTTCCCCTGAGCAAATTGGGAGCACAGGGGGAGGGGGTATGGAGGTTGGAAAAAGAAGAGGGAAGAAGGGGAGGGGGAGGAGAATATGAGGGATCAGGAGGATGGAGTTGGGGGAAGAATAGAGAAGGAGAGCAAGAAAAGAGACACCTTAATAGAAGGAACCATTATAGTTATAAAGAGAAATCTGGCACTAGAGAAATGTCAAGGGATCCACAAGGATGACCCCAACTAAGAATCTAAGCAATGTTGAAGAGGCTACCTTAAATGCCCTTTCCCTGTAATGAGATTAATGACTACTTTAAATGCATCATAGAGCCTTCACCCAGTAGCTGATGGAAGCAGAAGCAGTGATTCACAGCCAAGCACTGAGACAAAGTCCTGGAATCCAATTGTAGAGAGGAAGGAGTGATGAGCAAAGGGGCCAAGACCGTGGTGGGGAAATACACAGAAACAGCTGATCTGAACAAGTGGGAGCTCATAGACCTCAGGCTGACAGCTGAGGAACCAGCATAGAATAGAACCAGGTCCCCTGAATGTGGGTGTCAGTTGGGAGGCCTGGGAAGTCTATGGGCCCTTTGCCAATGGAACCAGTATTTACCATGCTTTTTGGAGCCTATTCCCTATGGCTCCCTATGGGCCTAGATACTTGGGAAAGGGGTAGATCCTGCCCCAAATAATGTGACAGACTTTTATTATCCCCCATGGGATACCCCATGCTCCCTGGGGAGTGGAATTGGGGGAGGCATGGGAGGATGGGAGGGAGAAGGAACTGGGATTGGTATGTAAAAGAGGATTGTTTTTAATTTAAATATGAATTCATTTTTAAAAACACAAGGAAAATATTTCTAGGTGATATTAATTTGGTGACTGTTTGCTTCCCTTATGGTCTTTTGCTTTATTTTATTATATTATATTTTATTTTTTGAGAAGTGGTTCATTTTGATTCATTTTGGTTCTTCATTATTTGATTGTTTGTTTTTTTTAATTTTGTTTTGTTTGAGAATGGTTCTCACTACAATGATCAAGCTGGTCTTCAACTTAGAATCTTTCAACATAAGCCTTTTAGTACTAATAATAAGTTTATGGGCCACTGCTCCCTCTCAGTTTGGTGGGCTTTTATTTCTTTTAATACCTTAGAGAAGAATCTTTGTGTACAGTAAATTATAATACTCAGAATAATAAAAGATTTGACAAAACTTGGTATCATCATGATCTTCTTTCTTCTCTTCATAAACTAGAAGCAAAGACTGGTCTTAGTTTGTATTTGGACAGCTTTGTAAATTCCATTGTTTCTCTTCTTGATGCCCTATCCTGACATGGAATGGTGCCCCTTTGTTTCCCCTACTTAACTTTCTCTTTATTGTAGTGTGAATGTACAGCAGTCCATACCACAGGAGCCCACTTAATATAAACTTGGGTTCAGTGGATAACTGTTATGTTTGTCAAAGAATATTCATGCCAAGTGACATTAGTCAACTAAGATTTTGGGTGTGCTCAGTCCTTTGTATTTTATTAAGGTTTTGTGTACAGGGTAATTATCTTCTTCCCATAATCTTTGTGAAAGAAACGGTGTTTTTACTATCTTTATTTTGTATGTGACAGAATGATAATTCACAGAGTTAAAAATTACAAAACCAGATGTTAAAATAAGGTTTCTTGTCACCAATTCCCTTTTCCATAGAGATGACAAAAATACCATTACCAGATAGTGTGATATTATTCAACACAAGTGTAGAGAGGATATAGAAACCTCTGTTCTGCTAGCATTATAACTATATGGGTATAATAATCCAGATAGTTATTTTAAGAGAAAAATGGAGGAATGGGAACTAAAGGTCTAAGCCAGTAGTACAGCATCTGTCTAGAAACAAAAATGAGTGATAATGGGAACTCAAAGTAAAGTGGTCAAAGTATACCGTATTATCCAATAGCGTGACTTACCCTGTAGCCAACATCCTCCACTAGGGCAGATCCACCCACAGTACAGCCTGCTTGCCACAAAGTTTCTTTCATGCTGCAACCGTAAAGGAATACATTCTTCTTTTGGGAGTGACCATGGAAATCACAGAAGACCTACAATAAGCAACAGAAAAGAGAAAATAAAGTGCACTGGCCTCTTACAATTTTAAAATGTCAAAGTTGTCAGGAGACTGCTGTTTACTCAGAGTAACCAGCTATGTGTGAGAGTAGTGCAGGTTCTGGCACAGCTACACTGAAAACTCTCAGGGAAGAAGGTAGATTGCTGGGCTCCTAGGAGGGAACCAAATGTAAAGAAATGCATGGCATGATGAGCTCTTTTGAAAAGTTCCCTTATGATAGGGTCACAGACCAAAAAAAAAAAAAAAAAAGAGAGAGAGAGAAACAACAGTGGTTATAAAAGTATAATGTGAAAAATTTAAAAACTGAAAAGTAAACAGAAAAGGCCCTTTTAAGGGACTGTATCCAATATATAAAGAATAATCATTGGGATTATTCTCCAGGTTCTGATGTGAAAAATAAAGCCTCAAAAACTCAATGGTTTTGCAAACTCACTTTTTTAAATTCATGCTACAGATAACTATGAGGCTACACTATATAACTTACTTTAGGGTTTAAGCTGAGAGAGAAACACTAGTTTGGTATATGCTAGTTTGTGACAAAGAGAAAAGTGATAGGGAAGGCAAACTCCTGTTTTACCTGTTGAAGCTTTTCCTAAAACAAAACAAATATCTGCTCAATTGATCCAAAGAAGTTAGATGGTTTGCCTCACCAGTGTGGCAGGGAAATATTTTTTTTCATGTTTTCTTGGCAAGTTACAATAAAGTGGTCAGTGATGGAAAATCCTGAAAAAATGTGTTAATAATTAAGAAAAATATGGAATCCAAAAGATGACCCCAAAATGTCCCCATTGCACATGTAAGGACATTCACAATTCACCGTGTACCTTCTCAATTTGAACTTAGTCATATGGTACTTCTTATTAAGACTGAACAAGCTGAGGTTTACAATCTACTTGTACTTAAATTCGCTGTCCTGTTGCCAGCTCCAGGCCACACTCATCAGACCAGAAAAATCCTTCAGCTGGCATAGATGATTCCCACTCAAGATCGATAACTTTAATTCATAGCTTTTGTTAATGTCACTAAGATTGGGGGTCCTTTCTTATCTAACAAGAGCTAAGTACTACATTAATTTTTTAATCAAAATAAACACTTCCCACCATTTTCCATGCAAGATATACAACTAGCCTCCCTTGAAGAAGTTGTACCAAGAATTACTGTCTAAGAGTATCAGAATTCCAGTCCAGAGCTCATTACACTTTCTAGATTCCATATTTGCCTTCACCTTCTCCCTAAAGAGAAGGAGAAAACAAAGGAAAAATGAAGGAAAGTCTTCTCCATTGGTTGGAAGCCAAACTAAGATTCCCATCAAACATTCAAATGGAAATGGATGAAAAGAATACACACAACAGGTTCTTTTTCGTAACAAGCCGGAAGTGCTACTGGGAGACTATATCTTGCAGGTCTGGTCAGGAGGCTGATTAGACTCCAGGACAACTTCTGCAATAGAGTCCTAGTGTTTTGCAGCTGTTAGTGTTGTGGTCTTATTATTCCTCTCTATACTTCTTCACTCTTCCTTAAGAGGTATTTATTTTCCCATTAGCTTTGTTGACCACACAGGAAAAGGTTATTGGAGAATATAAAAATATACCTCCTGGAGGTAAAGCATATATCCTGTCCCATTCACAGCAGAGATTACTAGACACCCAAATCATTATGGTCTCCAAAGGGGCAGTCTCTATCAGTCAATGTACTGAAAAAGTACTGGGGGGCATGGAATGGTAAAGAAAATATTTTCTTGAATTTAATTTCAGTAACAAGTAAATGACATCCTAATACACAAGAGTAGTAATGTGGAGAATACTAATGTGGAAAATTGCTGCAGCACATGTGAAAGTGAATGTATCAGCACAATGCGATAAAACACGAGAAAAATGAAGTGTTGATATGTCTTTACATAGTTGGTAGAGTGTATGTACATGAGGCAACGTATTAACTTAAGGTAGAATTCATTAAGATTGATATTATTAACAATTATGAACAGTGAGCATGAAGTTATTTTATGGTGCATAAATAAAATAAGATATAAACTATATTCTAGAAAGTACTTGCTAGATTAAACATAATTGAAATCTCTATGAACAAATAAAACACATATAAAATACTGAGTATAGTAGTAAATTTCATTTCAACCACATACATAATGTGAATCAATGTTTACTAAAAATAACATCAGATTTTAAAAAAGGTTTATCTAACTGTATTGTCTACAAAAATAACCATTTTAAACATGATTTCATAAATTAAAAGCCAAAGTGTGGCCAGGTATGGCAACACACACCTAAAACCTTAGTATTTGATGGATGCAGCCAAGAGACTCATGAGTTCAGCCGTTTCTCTGTCATATAAAGAATTTGAGGTCAGACTAGGTTTATATGAAACCCTGGTTCAAAAAACAAAGAAAAGTAAATTTGTGAAATTTGTATATGCTACAATCCCTAGGCAAAGGGAATATGGAGCATCTACATTAATTTAGGTGTGAGAAATATTGAGGGGAAGAAATGTTGTTGCGAAGGCTACTGCATCTGGTTAAGGCCACTTCTGTACTCTTCTACTTTGGGATTCCCCTTTCCATCCATATCAAAGACTTGAATCAATACTGGTATCTGCTACAAACCTGGCCTTCAGTGTAGAAGGGCTTTGGAGGTTTTTAGGGATGACGATGCTCCCTTCACTGGTGCATTGTTAGTGCCTTTGTGAAGGCTCCTCTTATAGACAGGCGGAAGGTATAGAGATCAGAAGATAAATGCAGCACAAGACCCTTCTCCTAAGCCTACGCTTCTCCCTGTGTCAAGGAAGATCAAGCATCTCCGTCTGACTATATGTCAGTGACTGCTGAGAAAAGGTTCCAGTCACATAACTCATTGAGTCAATGGTTGTCAACCTATAGGTAGCAACTTCCACAGGGGTAGCATATCAGACACCCTGCGTATCAGTTATTTACATTATGATTCTTAACAGTAGCAAAATCACAGTTATTAACTAGCAATGAAATAATTTTATGATTTGGTGTCACCACAACATGAAGAACTGTAAAAATGGGTCACAGGATTAGGAAGTTTGAGAACCAGTGAATTAATCTGTGAAGTTATAACCAGTTGCTCTAGCTGACATAGCTCTAGATTATGTACTTTTATTCATGATGTCTGCCTAACCATAGGGTCTGTCCTTAATAGTAAAGCATGCTAAGACTCCATTCTGGCAAGGATTTCCTGGGTTTCATATGATTTGTTAGCAAACTGTTATTGGTTTATAAACTATTTCCATCTTGGGCATCATATCCACTTATTTTCTAATATTATGTTCATATTTGATCTGAGTTATTAGATTAGCGAGGTTCTAGGAGCCTTTAAAAATGAGTATCCTCTTCCCCACCATCTGCCCTGGATAAGATAATGTCATGGTCTTCCAGCAAAGGAAGAATATTCTCATACTTACATCCCACTGATTGGTGAGTTATGGATGATGGTCTAGTCCATGTTATGTGGCAATGGGTCTCATATATCAACATCATCAGCACAACATGGAGGACTTGGCAAAGCAGGTATCAGAACCATGCTCCAGCAATTCTGTGGTTCAAGTCTGAGTCAGGCTCAAGAATTTGTCTTTCTAGCAAGCGCCCATGTGAGGCTGAAGGTGCTGGTTCCAAGATCATACTTTGAAAACCCTCTATTCTAAAGGAGCCAACAAAATAACTGTTTACAATCTAATCGTCTACCATCATGAACTTTCTGCCAACCTTTATCTCTTCTATCTCAGTTTTTCTGTGTGAATAAACATGCACCATTCTTATGAAAAGTGTGCAAACAAATTAAGCCTGTGTCTTAGCAACAGATTTTGCAATAAAGCCAGAAGACTGCCTGGTGACAGGAGCTCCTTAAATGCTGGATTCAGTTAGAGATAAAAGCTGTTATTTTTTTCCCTTCCTGATCCTCACAGACTCTGAAAGCTGAGGTAAATGACAAATTATAGACCTATTCACCTGTGGGAAGGAGCACTGCTAAGCCCTGGGATTCCAGTGGCCTCGGAAGATTCAGATTGAAAGAAATAGAGACATTGTTCTGCTTGCTGCTCAAGTGATATTCCTACAAATAAATACCTATTAATTATAAGAAACCCATACTCCTGCAAATTGCAGGGGACAATTACAAGTCAAATTATCAACTTATTTCAGTTGAGGAAGCTTTTTCTTTTCTACTTGAAGATTTGATACTCATATTTCCTTCCAGTAAAATTCTTTGCCAGAACAGTAGCGAGTGTGCCCAGTTTGGAGACCACAACATTCATAGCTTAATAAACAGCCCTATCTCACTCATCAATTTATTCAACAAAAAATCTGCATGTCTGCTCTGTGGCAGGAAAAATTAAAATTTTAATATAACTCAGTGTTGTCCTTCACAGCAAAAATAACAATAAATAATTAATTTATCTTTTGAACACTTACGAGACTTCAGCTGGCAGGTTAAAAAATTATACAAAATAGATGTTATAGAATATTTAATTGTATAGTCATGTACTAAAGTTTTATAAATGTTATTATAAAATAATAACAAGGAGCATCTCATGATGAATTAGGCATTGTTGTCCCTGTTTTAAATAAGAACATTGAATTTCAAATAAATAATTTGTTCACTTCAATTATTAAGTATATGAGTAAATATTTTAATGCAAATTTCCCTGAAATCCAAACATTTTTCCATTCTATTTTGTTTCATGTAGAAGCTGCTTTGTGAGGATGATCCCAAAAGGTAACAAACATGAGGATAAGCTTAACTCTCTAGAAATCCAGCTAAAAGCATACTTCATACTTCTAGAGAGGAGGGTTTTACATGCCCTTCCAGGGGTGGTATCCTAGCAGGAATTCAACATAGTAGTCCTGCACGTCACAAAGAAAGGGTATATCCTCAATGAATCTTAACAAGCAAATGCAAAAAAAGGAAAAATGGGGGAGAATGAGGTATGTGTTTGAGGAAT